GTCAACAGTGCCAAAGTTGAAAACTTTGATCTAGTCCAGTCCTTTCATTGCAAAAGTGAAGAAACCGAGACTCTCTCTCAACCGAACCCTGGAGTGAAGTGAGCAGACGAGAAACCCGGGCTGGATTCACCGCTTTTACAGCCTCATGGGGGCCATTAGCCCACTCCGGCAGCCGGAAGTTTCCCACAGGCCCGCGGGGCATGGGGAAGGCTTGAACCGTTGGTTACCGCTGGTTGCCGGGATACACTGCCTCAGCCATCTTCTCCAATCAGCATTCATCTTTTTGAGTCCAATCACAGAAGGCGGAGGAGCTGTGGTCGGAGGTGAAAGGTCGCGGTGAGTTCGGCGGCCATTTCTCTTGAAGCTCCGCGGTTTCGGTTGTGCTGTAGCTACTCCGGTCACGAGAAACAGACAGCAGCTGGGCAGGCGGCGAGCAGCTTGCAGCGTTTGCCTGTAGTCGCCATGGTAAGGAGGACGAGAACGGCCGGAGTCGCCGGGGAGAACGGGAGGGCGGGTGACCGGCATAGCCGGTCCCTGTGGCTGGTTCGCGCGTTTCCCATTCATCCGCGTGAGGCGCCGCGCACCCGGTCTCCAGCCCCTTTCCGCGACGGTGCTCTGAGGCGCGCACCTCCCTTCCGGGAGTGCTTCCTTCCCTCTCTTCTTCGTTTGAATCTGAGCCCGAAGTACCCTTGTTGGTTCTGGCCACAGGATCGGGGTAAATATAAAGCGGTTTTTCACAGTCTGTTTATCACACTCCGTAATCAACCTCCATTGCATGATGTTGGGATTCCCAGCCCCTCAGGCTTTGCAGCGTGCATTTAGTCATTCAGTAAATATTCACTGAGCGCATAATACCTGCCAGATACTCATTCAGGTGCTAGGAACGTAACGTTAAAGTACTGATGGCGGACCCTTCTTTGGGTTAACTCAGTAGGGTGTGAGAGACAGACATTAGTGACAGAAATACGTAATTGCAAAGAGCGATAAGTGCTAAGAAAGAAGCAAGTGCGATGCTGTGAGAGGGCGCTGTGGTACTTTACATGGCATCCCTGGGAGGAGGGATTTACCCGAAACCTAAATAAAATGAAATACATCCCCTTAAAGAGCAAGAAGAAGGGTGTACCAAGCACAAAGAAACAACTGTGCATAGGCCCTAAGGCCGGAAAGAAAGCTTGAACAGTTGGAGGAATTGACAGAAAGCCACAGCTGCTTGCAAGAGTAGTGGTTATGAGATAGGGTCGGAGAAGACCTATTAGGCCATATATTAGAAGGTCTGCATTCTACTCCAAGTGCAATTGGACGCCATCAAAGCATTTTAAATAGAGATACGACGTTAAAATAATACCTGTGTTGGAGAAAGGCAAGAATGAAAACTGGAGACCCATTATGTAATTACAGCAGTCTCCATGTCCTTTGAGATCACTCTGAATATGTTTATCTTAGAGGGGTTTAGTAGCCGAGTTTCTTGGTTCTTTTCTTTCTTTGGGCTGCTGTGTGAGCAAATGAGGGAAGGAGAAAAGTGAATTCACTGGGGATACTACTGTTTTTGTTGAGTAAGCAAACATTAAGTGATTATCCATATGTAGGAGGCACCACTAAGTCAATAAAACCCAGTCCTAGCTTCTCGAATTAAGGTGAAAGACTCAAGGTTGATCTGCTCCCTGCCTCTGCTGTAGCCTCATATTTGGGACTCTGATGAAACCAAATTGTCTCTTGTTGCTTCACTCTTCCCTCCTTTTAATAGGTAGCCTCTTTTGCCTAGAATATAACCTCTCATTCTTTAAAAGAGAAGCATTACTTATTTCAGCCAACCTTTCCTTTTCTCTTGACCCCTGATTGCTTTGACACCCTTGTATATAGCATAGCATGTCTTACTTAACTGCATAGCAATGTAGTTGTCTGTCTGTATGTGTTCTGCCCCTTCCACTGTGAGCTGCTTGATTCTTGACAGGAACTGTCATCTGCAGTTTTTTTCCTGCCTTTACCTTTCTTTCTTTACATCCTGGAACACTGAGTGATGTATACTGGGTATTCAGTATTTCTTAAGTGAATAATGAATACAGTTGACCTTTGAACAATGTGGCACCTACCTGCCACTCAGTTGAAAATCTATATGTAAATTTTGACTCCTCAGACTTAACTAATAGCCCGCTGTTGACCACAAAACTTACGAAAACATGAACAGTTAATACATATTTTGTATATTACATGTATTCTGTATTCTTCCAGTAGAGTAAGCTAGAAGAAAATGTTTTTCAAACTCACAAATCTTAAATTTTCCCATATATTTATTGAAAAATATCTGCATATAAGTGGGCCTACCCAGTTCAACTTATGTTGTTGAAGGGTAAACTGTACTTTACAACTTTTGATGGGTTATAGATGAGACTGTCTAACTGGGTATTTATATTTCTCTGATGCTCTTCAAATGAAAGTTGAAAACTATGTAGCAAAGTGAGAGGGAGTCTAGAGTTTGCTTCATTTAGATGCTATAAAATATTGGTGGTTTCGGTAGAGGAGATTAGGTAGTGGAAGCTAAGCTAAGGAAAAATAATTGAGTCCTTCTTTTGTTCTTTGTGCAGAGTTTGCCCCTCAATCCCAAACCCTTCCTCAATGGATTAACAGGAAAGCCAGTAATGGTGAAACTTAAGTGGGGAATGGAATACAAAGGTTACCTGGTATCTGTAGATGGTTATATGAACATGCAGGTAAGCCAAAGAGTATTTATTTTGCTTCACCTTATTCTTGAAAGATTTAGTGTGATTTATAAGAAACAGTTATTGACAAACATAAAGCAAAATTCGGAAATAAAGTCAAGGCCAGGCAGAATGTTATTAACTCTGCTAAATTATGTACCAGATACGGTGTTAAGCCAAAATTCAGCCACAGATTTGACTCCTAGTGGTTAAATATGAACTCAGACATTTGATTTACAGCGCCATTAGGGAAGCACACTAGTTTGCAGAAAAATGCAACAATGCAGCTGGGAAGTGCTCTTCCTGGCACTTAGCTCTGAAAATTTTTTAAGTGAAATCCTTAAGTGTTTAATGATGGTTAAAGGCACAACATCAAAGTAATTCCATTAAAGTATTTCTTGAGAGAGAAGACAGGCCAGCCAAAGGAAGTGATGAACTGATTTGCATATATGTTGAACTAAGCTTCTGGAAATGTTTCAGCCAGTTTTTTTTTTTTTTAATTTTTTTATTGTATAAAATTTTCAAGTGTACAGTTCAGTGGCATTAAGAACATTGACGTTATGGTGCATTCATCACTGTTACCACTTCCAGAACTTTTTCATCATCCCAAAGTGAAACTCTGTACCCATTAAACAAACTCCCCATTCCTCTGCCCTTGGTAAACACTACTCTTTCTGTCTTTATTCTAGGTACCTCATATAAGTGTAATCCTTCAAGGTTTGTCCATTGTAACATACATCAGAATTTCTCTCCTTTTTATGGCTGAAGTAATAGTCCATTATCTCACATTTTAATCCATTCTTCTGTTGATGGACACTTGAATTGCTTCTCTTACAAATATCTGTTAAGAGTCTCTGCATTCAGTTCTTCTGGGTGTATATGCAGAAGTGGAATTGCTGGATCATACAGTGATTCTTTAATTTTTTGAGGAACTGCCATACTGTTTTCCCTAGCAGCTGCACCATTTTACATTCTACCAGCAATTTACAGGGGTTCCAGTAACTTCACATCCTCACTAACACTTGTTATTTTCTGTTTTTGTTTTTGTTTTTAAATAATAGCCATCCTAATGAGCATGGTGTGGTGTCTCATTGTTTTGACTTATATTTCCCAAATGATTAGTGACGTTGTGATCTTTTTGTGTGGTTGGTTATTGGTCATTTCTGTATTTTTGGAGAAATGTCTGTTCATGCCCATTTTACAATTGGGGTGTTTTTTGTTGCTTAATTGTAGTTTCCAGCGAGGTCTTTGAGGAAAGAATTTGAGGTTACATTTTCCTGAAGGACAGTTATTTCTGTGGCTGAGTAGTGGTAGATGGATGAATTTTAAAGATCATCTATGTAGGTGGTCAATCCAACCAACAGGCAGAAAACTAAGAGGGGCACCTGTAGGCCAAAAGCAGAGATTTTTCTTTTTCTTCTCAAGAAATAATTCACAAGCAGGTCACGTAGGTACATGTGAAGAGTGTTTAATAATGCAAAGTATGCACTCAGGAAGGGAGTGCGAGCATGCTCAGGAGTGAGCAGCTGAGATTTTTCTTAATCTGAGAGTTTGCTACCTGAGCAGATGATGCTTAGGTTCCCAAAGTTCTTAGAATGATTTTGCTCTGGAAATTCACCAAAGAGGAATCATTTACCTAGGCCATAGAAAAATATGAGAAGTATACCCATTGTGCTAAAAATAAATGTTCCAGACTTGGTAGTGGTAGTGATTACACAGTTTTATGAATATAAAAACCACAGACTTGTACACTTTACAAGTGGATTTCATGCTGTGGGAATTATATCAATAAAATAGAGGAATAGAGAATACTTACCGAATGTTTGGTTTTAGAAGGTGTTATGTACCTTCCTGGTGACCTTCCTAGAGTCTCTGAGTAACCAACCACACTGATGATGCTTTTGAGTTTGTTCACTCAGCAAATACTTTTTGAGCACCCATTACGTACCTGGCTCTGAGTGTACACCAACGAACAGAACAAAGTCTCTACCCTTATGTTTTTATGTTTTAGTAGTGGGAGATAGTAATGTAATGTTATGTAATACCAGGCAGTGATAGATGCTTTAGAGAAAAAGCAGAAACAGAATAGATAGACAAGAGTGTGTAATAGGAAGCCAGGAAAAGCCTCTCTGAGAAAGCAAGTTTAAAGGTCAGAATTGAGTAAGCAACAGAAATGAGTATCTGGGGAAAGAGCATCCCAGTTTGCAGGAATAGCAAGTGTACACAAAGACTTAGTGTCAGGAACATGTTTGGTGTGTTCAAGGCAGGGCTAGAAGGCCAGAGCAGAGTGAGGGAGGGAAGAGTATGATGGAAGGGTTGGAATGGTAGTCATAAGGGCCTTTTAAGCGATGGTAAGGACTTTAGATTTTAGTTAACACTTGATAGAAAGCCTTTGAAGCATTGTATAATTTAGAAACAAGTTAAATGTTGGTGAACATCTGCCAAAAACAGTCACTTAAAAAAGAAATTTAGTTGATAACACATTATTTCTGAGTGGTTACATACAAAACCAACTATCATAACAACCACATATATTTCAGACAAAACCATATCATCTAGGTGTAGGGGGTTACTTTTTGTTCTTTACAGAGAGAATAACATTCAGTAGCAGTGTTAATTCATTAACATGCTTTAAATGCCTTAACCTCACGTCCTCTCTTCCTTGCCTCTTGCCTAGGTAATGAAGGAAACTTCCCTCTCTCTCCTTTCTCTCTTTCATTTCTTTTGTGAGTCCTAGATAGCACTGATTGTGATTTTTTTTATATTACAAGTTTATTACCTTTATGTAGAAGAAAAGCTAAATACTTTGATGTAAAATTAAAAGTTTCCTGAAATAATTATAAAGGTCGTTCTTAATGGTTTAACATCCTCTTAGGAACTGATTTTTCCCTATTTCCTAGCATATAGTTAAAAAATTCATAGTTCTTTGGTTTGGTTGTTGACTAATTATTAGAGTATTTGGTATTTCAGCCATAGCTTTTGTACCCATTGGGCTTTTGTACCCATTGGGATCCTCAATATAACATTATTGCTCTGAGAAAAATTAATGCCTGGTTGTTTAAACTGAATTTTCAGGAACCTTTAATCACAAATTATTCACACTTTCTTAACCCATTGTTTTAATGTCTGATAGAAAGAAATGTTTCAAGATTGAGAGATTTAAAATATGTTCAAACAAACTTTTATTTTTTATTGGTTCTACATCCATCAGTGTTAACTTTACTAAATGTTCATATGAAATCAAAAGGTACTACAATAGTAACAGAAAGTTAATCTTCTAATTATTGTCGATAAATGTTGGCATAGAAAGGTCTCAGTTAATAAGTTCTCTCACCAATAATTAGGTATATTATACTGTTTTGCTCTTCTGTATGATTAAGACTAATATATTTTCTTTTTATTTAAAGCTTGCAAACACAGAAGAATATATAGATGGAGCATTGTCTGGACATCTGGGTGAAGTTTTAATAAGGTAACAAAACAGCAGTAATGTATGTAGGGGGTCATTTATTGGTGAGCATTAGAAATACCTGCTTAAACTAATTAATGACTCAATTTCAGAATTACTTCTTTTAAAATTTCTATCAATTTAACCTATTACTCTACAACTAGATTTCAAGAGTCCTTAAAACTGTCAAACTTGTCAGAATTTTTCTAGTGTTGATATTAAACTTTCTAGCTCTTACATACAACTTTTTTCAGGGATTTTAATCTCGGGTGCTTGGTTTTGAATTTTAGTTGCTTCTGGCTGGCTGCTGTTAGGAATTTTGGTTACTCTCATTTCTAGAACTACCTTCACACTTTCAAATTCTAGTTGTTACTCCTTTTGGAAGATCATAAAGATACCATTTTATAACAACCATGTAGTGAAATATAAGTGCCATGTGCTTTTTAATCAATGGTAAAAACTTTTTAAAAAGTGAAAGGAATGATATATCGCAAATTTAGCATTCAGTATATTTGTAATGAAAGTATCTAGTAATAGTGATTCAGATCTTAATGTGATTCCATTTGGAACAACAAAATGAACTATTTTTCTATTTACAGGTGTAATAATGTCCTTTATATCAGAGGTGTTGAAGAAGAAGAAGAAGATGGGGAAATGAGAGAATAGCATCTTTTGTGGGGAGTTTTTTTTTTTT